CAAAGAACAGCTAATTCCAATACTGTGTAGACTATTTGGGAAAATAGGCAAAGAAGGAGTCTTAACCAAATTCTTTTTATGATACAAATATGGTGTGATACCTAAACCAGGAAGAGTCAAAATAGAGAAAGAAAATTATAGACCAATTTCTCTAATGAATATAGATGCAAAAATTTTAAAAAATATTAGCAATAGATTACAGCAACTTATCACAAGAATAATACACTATGACCAGGTAGGATTTATACCAGGAATGCAGGGTTGGTTCAATATTAGGAAAACTATCAGCATATTGAGCATATCAACAACAAAACCAACAGAAACCACATGATCATCTCAATAGATGCAGAAAAAGCTTTTGACAAAATACAACACCCATTCCTATTAAAAACACTAGAGATAGGTATAAATGGAGTCTTCCTTAAAATAAATAGCATCTACTAAAACCTTCAGCAAGCATTATATGTAATGGGGACAGCTAGAAGCATTTCCAATAAGATCGGGGTGAAACAAGGATGTCCATTATCACCACTGTTATTCAATATTGTACTGGAAATTTAGCTTTAGCAATAAGAGAAGAAAAAGAAATTGAAGGCATTAGAATAGGCAAAGAAGAAACAAAGCTATCACTCTTTGCAGATGACATGATGATATACTTAGAGAATCCTAGAGAATCAAGTAAAAAACTACTTGAAATAATAAACAACTTTAGCAAAGTTGCAGGCTATAAAATAAACCCACATAAATCATGCATTTCTATATATTACCACAAACCACAGCAAGAGATAGAAAGAGAAATCCATTTAAACTTACTGTAGACATTATAAAATATTTAGGAGTCTACCTCTGAAACAAACCCAGGAACTCTATGAACACAATTACAAAACACTTTTCACACAAATAAAATCAGATCTAAATAATTGGAAAAACATCAGTTGCTCATGGGTAGGCCAGCTAATATAATAAAAATGACAATCCTACCTAAGCTAATTTACTTATTCAGTGCCATACCAATCAAACTACCAAAAATTATTTTATAGAGTTAGAAAAAATAATAACAAGATTCATTTGGAAGAACAAAAGGTCCAGAATATCAAGGGAACTAATGAAAAGAAATGCAGGGGAAGGTGGCCTAGCAATTCCAGATCTTAAAATCATCAAAAACTGCTTGGTACTGGCTAAGAAATAGATGGATCAGTGGAATAGGTTAAATATGCAAGACACAGTAGTCAATGACTATAGTAATCTATTATTTGATAAACCCAAAGACCCCAGCTTCTGGGATAAGAACTCTTTGAAAAAAACTGCTGGGAAAACTGGAAAAGAGTATGGCAGAAACTAGGCATAGACCCAAATCTCACACCATATACCAAAATAAAGTCAAAATGGGTTCATGATTTAGATATAAAGGCTGATACTATAAGTAAACTGGGAGAACAAGGAATAGTTTACCTATCAGATCTATGGAGAACAGAAGAATTCATGACCAGGAGATACATTATGAAAAGCAAAATGGATAATTTTGATTACATTAAATTGAAAAGTTTTTGCACAAAGCAATGCAACTAAGATTAGAAGGAAAGAAAATTGGGAAAAATTTTTACAACCAGTCTCTCTGATAAGGCCTCATTTCTAAAATATATAGAGAATTAAGACAAATTTATAAGAATACAAGCCATTCCCAATTGATAAATGGTCAAAGGATATGAACAGACAGTTCTCAGATGAAGAAATTAAAGCCATCTATAGTCATATGAAAAAATGCTCTAAATCATTATTGATTAGAGAAATGCACATCAAAACGACCCTGAGGTATCACATCTCACCCATCAGATCGGCCAACATGACAAAACAGAAAAATTATAAACGTTGGAGAAGATGTGGGAAAATTGGAACACTAATGCATTGTTGGTGAGTTGTGAAATGATCCAACCATTTTGGAGAACAATTTGGAACTATGCCAAAGGGCTATAAAAATGTGCATACCCTTTGACCAGCAATAGCACTTCTAGGGCTATATCCAAAGAGATCAAAAAATGGGAAAAGGACCCACATGTACAAAAATATTCATAGCAGCTCTTTTTGTGGTGGCAAAGAATTGGAAATTGAGGGGATGCCCATCAATTGGGGAATAGCTGAACAAGTTGTGGTATATGAATATAATGGAATACTATTGTGCTATAAGAACTTATGAGCAGGCAGACTTCACAAAAACCTGGAAAAACTTAAATGAACTGATGCTGAGTGAATTGAACAGAACCAGAAGAATGTTGTACACAGTAACAGCCATGTTCTGCAATGAATAACTTTAATAGACTTAACCCTTCTCAGCAATGCAAGGATCTAAGACTTCTCCAAAAATCTCATGATGGAAAATGCTATCCACATCCAGAGAAAGAACCATGGAGTTAAAATGCAGATCGAAGCATACTACTTGCTCTTTTTTTTCTCTTCTGTTTTGTTTTGTTTCCTCCTTCTTGTGGTTCCTCTTAATGGTTCTAATTCTTTCTTTACAATATGACTAATGTGAAAATATGTTTAATAGGAATGTATATGTAGAGCCTATATCAGATTTCACATTGTCTTGGGGAGGGAGGAAGGAGGCAGGGGGAGAAAATTTAAAACTCAAAAGCATATGGAAGTGATTGTTGAAAACTAAAAATAAATTAATAAAAAAATTTTAAAAAAGAAAAGAAAATTAGAATTGGGGAAGGGGAAGCCAGCAAATGAGAGACCAAGAAATAACAAAACAAAATATAAAGAATGAAAAAATAGAAAAGAAAGTGAAACATCTCACAAGAAAAACAACTGATCTGGACAACAGATCAAGAAGAAAAAACAGGAATAATCAGACTACCTAAAAGCTATGATGAAAAAAAGAATTTGATACAATAATACAAGAAATAATTAGATTGTCTTAAAGTGTTGGAACAAGAGAGGAAAGTAGAAATAGAAAAAAATCCACAGATCACCACATGAAAGAAATCCTAGGAGGAAAACCTATAGGAATATCATAGCTAGATACTGAAACCTCTGGCTCAAGGAGAAAATATTATGAGCAACATGAAAAAAACAATTCAAGTATGGCAGAACTACAATTAGAATCACACAAGAACTAGCAGAGACTGCAATAAAAGACTGGAGGTCTCAGAACACTATATATAGAAGAGCAAAAGAACTGAGGTTGTGGCCGAAAACATAGTACCCAACAAAGTTAAGCATAATCCTGAACAAAAAAAAAAAAGAGTATTCGACAAATTGCCACTTTCAGGATTTTGTTGCAAAAAGACCTGAAATCGATAGAAAATTTGATATACAAGATCCATGAGAAATGTAAGGTAAACATCAAAGACTAATTACAAGGGACTCTTTAAGGACAGACTGTTTTTTATATGAGGAAATGTAAATCATATGTTTAAGATTGTTATCAGTAATTGGGCAGGTCAAAAGAAAGATAGAGGTAGAGCTGAGTATGATGTGATATCAAAAAGTAAACCATCTAGGAAAAGGTAATTATTATTACCTTTACATAATAATAACTGAGTAATTATCTTACATAAATGAAGTACAAGAGGAAAAATGGATACAGATGAATTAGAGGGAGGAGGAGGGCAGGTAGTTCTGTAAGCCTGCTCTCGTTGGGAATGGGTTAAAGAGGGAACAATATGTATAAATCTAGAAGGGTACAACCATCTTCTAAATTTAGAAAGAAATAAAAGGCTGAGGGAATAGGGAGTGGGGAGAGGACAAGGAAGGGATCTTTGGTGGGGGTTAGGTTAAAGAATAGGAGGGCAAGGTAGCAGGTAGAAGTAAAGTAGAGGAGTCAGGAGGGATAGGAAATAAGACATACACAAACATAAAATAAAGATCAGGAATAGAATTTATTGGGGAAAAAAGCAGGGGTAGCAATCATCTCAAAATTAAAGCTAAAATAGATTTAATCAAAAAAAAACAGGGAAACTACACTATGTCAGTTATATTAATCAATATTGTTTTAGACTATTTTAAATAACCAGAGAGTATAAAGTTGGAATATTGCTGTGGTATAGGAAACAATGAGTTGGTGGACTTAGAAAATATGGAAAGACTTGGACCTATGAAGGAAGATGTTATCCACCCTCAGAGAAACAGAGGACAAACATTTATAGTACAGTCTTACATAGATGCATATGAATGTATATCTATATGTGAGTATGATTATAGATATCTAAGTATATTTATCAGTATGTAAGTGTAGGTATGTGCCATCATGAAGCACTGGAGGAGGCCTTTTGTGGGAAAAATCTTCCTGCAGTTATAATGATTTATATGTCTATATTTAGCTCATATCATCCTAAAGTTATAAAGCTGCATTAGGACACCTAAAGCACCTTTTCAGGAAAGACTTCTGATTACAGGGATCTGGATCTCTAGGTTATGGTTACAAAGTTTATTTCCACTCAATTGTTCTAGAAATGACTTCTCAAAGAGGGCATGGCTTGGTCATGGTGTGTGTATGCATGGTGATTCTGTCACCTACCTATTCTCTAAGAATGAATGCATGCTGTGTGACATAGTCATAAAACTTTCCTGTGAGCAGTGGCCCAAATTAGCAGCAGATAGGGCTCTGTTTTCTCTAGTCATATGTAACTCTGGAGGGAAGGGGAGAATACAGGAAAAGAAGCTAAGTCTAAAGTTAGAAGGGATTCTAGAGTTCGTCTAGTCCAACTTTATCATTTTACAAGTGAGGAAACTGAGGCCCAGGTAACATATGCAACATGTCCAAAGTTATACATGGAGTATCAGAAGTGAGCTTTGAACTCAGGTCCTCTAACTCCCAATTCAGGAAGCTCTTCTTGAAATTCAGCCCTAGGCTTGAAGGGGATGATAAATTTCACTGAGCAACTTGATGGCTTCTGATTGTTCAATGTTTCATTCCTTTTTCAGATATTTGTCTTATTTTTCCTCAATTGAAACTCAATTCTGACCAATTGACAAATTTCTCTGGCTTTCCATTTCAGCATCACACTCAACAACACTGGCCAATTTAGTGCTGAGACCCTTGCCAGCTGCTGTGGATTCTACAACCATACCAACTGTATCAAAAACAGCCTCTTTGTGTAACAATATTTGATCGTAGCTCATAGAATCTAGCACTATCTAATCCAGTGGTAACCCCTGCAACTGTATATGAATTTAGAAAACAATAAATTTACACGATCTATGTTGTATTATATTTTTAATTCTTTTGTTAAACATTTCCCAATTACATTTTAACAAGGTTCAGGTTACACTTGAGAGTTCTTAAGGGCCAGATCCATAAGCTTGGTGCCTCTGATATAGTCCCCCCCCTCCCCATTTTACAATTAAAACAAAATGGTTTCAAATTCCTTATTAATGTCCAGATTGATTTAATACATGGTTGTGTGGGGTTTAAAATTGTCCAACTTACAATAAAAGAAACTGAGGCAGAGCTCTGAGACAAGGGCACTTTATTAAATAGTTAACAGTTCCCTCTAATGAAGTGGGCCTCAGCTCTTCCTCATGATCTGAGATGCCCTTTTCCTCCAAGGCCTTATTTTTATAAGGTTTGATACCAGGTTTAATATTTCAGCGCTCTAGAGGGGCTACACAAAATACAGAATCTTGTTGATTGACAGGCCTTGCTTTGAGGGCCAAAAATGATGTATGAACCAAAAATGGCATATCAGTGGGGGGGAGTGTCTTGGGTTGGGTGAAACATGGGACTTCTCCACTGATTAAGTGGTCATAAGATGGTCGCCTGCTCACGTTGGACAAGAGAGAGTGGTTCAGAGGTACAAAAATAAGTTGGGGGACTTTCTATGTAATTGAGTCACCTCTGTCATGCTAGGCTTGATTACCAGAACAAAGAAAAACAAGGATAGAGAGCCTCTAATCAGCTTCCTATGATTAAGCAAGTGAATTTCCAATCTGCAGTTCACAGCTCTGTGGCCTAATATAAAGAACTTATAATCACTATCCCTATGGAATCATATCAAACTGATTAATACTGATTGACATAGAGTAGGGGTCCACATGAATCACTTCTCACAGTTCCTACTGTACAATTAACCCACCAAAGTCTTTAACAATCATGTAAAATTTAAAAATTTCAATTTGGTTCACAGTTCACTGATGAAAGTGAATACTCACGTGGGACCAGACAAATTTTTCCCCCTGTGCCAGCTTAAAGCTTGTCCTAAGAATGAGCTTGGGTTTGAAGGGCTAAAAGCATTTCACACAAACCGTTATAACCTTAATACCAGAAGCTATTGTGGAAATTGTTCAGCTGGGTGCAAACTGGAAATACGGTTTAATGTGTGAGTGATGCGAGATTTGGGGCAAGTGAAGGAAAGGAATGCTTCTCTTAGGTTTGTGGTCTTTTGGGTTTATGCATTTCCATAGTCATGTTTGAAAGGTATATTTATTGAGAAGGCTGAAGTTTCCTTTAAAATATTCTCAAGGCCACTGTATTCCCCATTTCCCCAAGTAAATGTCAATTAAGGCCCTTCACAATATTGGCCCCACCTTCTTTCCAGTTTTATTTCATTATCCACTCATTCATGAAATCTATGTTCCAAACAAACTGAACCTATGTTCCAGCAGTTCCCCAAACTGGAAACTCCATCTCCTACCACTATCTCCCATACTCTGCTTCTCAGAATCCTCGTCTTTCCTTCCAGGCTCACTCAGCTCAGGGGCCAGCTCTTTCTTGAAGCATTGTCTGGGCTCCTCCTCCAGCAGGTTATCAGTGCTATCTCCTTCCTAAAACTGCTTTATAATGTATTTATCTGTGCTTATGTTGTATCCGCAGTAGAATAAAAGCTCACCGAGGACAAGACACTATTTCTTTTGCTTGTTTGTTCGTTTTTCACGGCGCAGAGCCGGACCTTAATAAGTGTTTGTTCGATTGAATTCAATTACTGCACATCCGGCGAAGAGATGGGCGAAGCGGTCCAGGGTCTAGGATCTAGGGTCTAGGGTCTAGACCACTGAACCTGGTCTAGGTGCGGGAGGGGGAATGGCCAAAGCATCCGCCCAGATAAGATCAAGGAACTTCTCTCTGGTGAAATAAGAAGGGTCTGATGGCCATTGGACAAACTGATTCTACAAGGAGAAGGGACCGGAGTTGTCCTGAGTGCCCGCCCAGTCCAGTCCTGGAAAGAGAGGAGGAAAAAGGGACGAGGCACGGGCTGAGAGGAGAGGGGGGCGGGGCGGGGGGCGCGGAGAAGACGGAATGAAGGGGAAGGGCGGGGCGTAAAGACAGTGGGGCGGAGTCCGGGGGTTCTGCCTAGCGCCCGGCCCCTCCCCTCCGTCTGTGAGCTGTGGTGGTCGGGGCTGGGGAGAGGACGGACGGGTGAGGGGCCGGGGCGGAGGGGGAAAGAGGAGGGAAGGGGGGCGGGGAGATGATAGCGAGCGAGAGGTCGAGGAAGAAAGGGAAAGAGTGAGAAAAAGAAGGGCTGGGAAGGAAAGGAACCAGGTCAGGTGCAGGAGGCCAAGGGGCCAAGATGTGGGAGGAGCCAAACCAAACCTGATCGCGATCCCTGCTTGGAGGCCAGGTGACGTCCTCTCGTGGGAACTCCCTTCCCTCACTTAGATCGCACCTCCTCGACGCCTCAGCCAAGTCTCCCTGCGTTTATAGACCCACAGGGCTTAGAGCTAGAAGGGCCTGGACCAATGCCTTCAGGGGTGGGGTACCTGCGGCCTCGAGGCCTCCTGTGGCCCTCTAGGTCCCTGGGTGTGGCCCTTTGGCTGAATCCAAACTGCACAGAGCAAATCCCCTTAATAAAAGGATTTGTTCTGTAAGACTTGTTCTGTAAACTTTTATATATATATATATGTGTGTGTTGTGTGTGTGTGTGTGTGTGTGTGCGTGTATGTGCATATATGTGCATATATATATATATATATATATATACACTGAGACTTAAATATTGGAATAATAAGCAGTTTTTAGGGTTATATGATGCTGAATAGGCATGTTTAGATTTCACCCGGTCTCTGCACTGTCAGCCTCAAAGTCTGTGTCTTACAGCAAGCCAGAGGTTAAATTCATCTTCTAGCTTAGTAGTTGTCTTCTAGAGCTCTGGAGAAGCTGGGGACCCCTGAAGTGTAGGCAGACTTCACTGAGGACTCAGGATCACGCACAAGGTTGCCTCCAAACTGGACATGTACAACTCAGGATTGCTTTTCAGTCATCTATATTTAGGACGAACAAACGGAAGAGGCAAACAAAAAAACCCAGTCACAGCTTGCCCAGTCAAGTAGCTGCTCTAGTTCCCTTATAGGATCTGTCACCATTTTTTCCAGGGTAGGAATAAGGGTGATCACCTTTCCCTGCCCATCCAGGATAGACTCTAATAGACCTGACATGATCTGCAGCTGAGAAGAGGAGAGAAAAGATGACTGACTCATGGAAGGTCACTCGTTTAAAAAATACGCTGAATCATTGGCTGTTCCTGCTCAGTGACCAGTAAACAGATTGCTTTGTTTCCCCCAAAGCAGCCTTTAGGGCTGAATCCCACATGGCCAGGAAACACCCTGAGGCTGTGTCATCCCTAAAACACCCAAGCTCTGAGCTAGCCTGCATGATCATCCAGGAGCAGATGGGGTAGTTTTGCATATGCCTGGATACAAGGACCTAACTAGAGTCCTAACCCTAGTAGAGAGAAGGCCACAAATGTGAGAGAGGTTCTGGATTAGAATGAATGTCTTAGCAACTGATTAGATATGTGGGTTGAGTGAGGATAAATAATGGAAGATAAATCAAAAGTTGTGACCTTGGGTGACTGGAAAGATAGTGATGCCCTCAACAGAAAGTCCCTTTTAAAGAAGAATGGGTTTGGAAGTAAAATAACGAATTTCGTTTTGGACATGTTGAATTTGAGATGTACATGGGACATTTTAAAATCCTTAGCTTCCCTTGGAGGTCAGTTCAAGTGCTACTTTCTGCACAAGGCCTTTACTGCCAGCACTGACCCTACTCCTCAAAATTACCTTGTATTTACTTTGTGTGTGTGTGTGTGTGTGTGTGTGTGTGTGTGTGCGTGTGTATGTATATATGTGTGCGTGTGTGTGTATATGTGTGCGTTTGTATATATATATGTATATATGCATATATATTTCATTTGTCTGGGCATATTTTGTTTTCCTCAATATAATGTAAGCTCATTTAGGGGGACTGTTTGGTTTTTGTCTTTATATACCTCCTATGGACCTGGTCCATAGAAGGTGCTTGATAAATACTTGTTGATTGATCTTAAATTGTAGTTTCTTTGTAGACAGAAGCATTTCTGTTTTAGAGTGACTTGTATAATATATATATATATGTATATATATATGTATATATACATATATATACATATATATAATTTGTTGCTTAATAACTTTTTTGATTATCATTCAACCTTGGATTTTTAAAATTTTATTTTTAGCTGGAAAAGATAGAAGACGGAAGAGAAGAAGAGAGAAAGAGCCTGTTTCTTTAATTTCCATGGAGAATGGCATGGAGAATCTAGGCTTGGAGCTTATGGTAACTTTACTTTTATTGTTCATGTAGCTCTGTGAGCTAGTCCCGGTGCTGTCAGAAGCATCACTTTCCTTCTAGATTTCTGGTCCTGTTATTATAGCATTATCTTTCATTTAAAGCTATGTAAAAGAAATTCAGAAATAACCACACAGAGCACATTAAATGAGTAACAGAGGGGCAGAAATAAAGGGGCAGGAGGGAGGAAGTTCCAGCTAGGGACAAAGCATCTCCAAATGGGATAAGGGCAGTCTTCTTTCAAATCTCCCAGTAATCTTTTTCAAATTACTATAGTAATTTAGCATCTTTTTCTTTGAAAGCCTAACAGTAATTTTGTCTGTTATTACAGGAGTGAAAACAAAATGCAAAGGAAACTACATTGACTAAAGTACAAGCGAGTCATCTGAAAGATAAGGAGATTTGGCCTATCCTATTTGGAGGTATGAGATTTCTTTAAGATTTCATTTCTTCTCTTTGATAAAAGGGGAAATAAAGGAAGCAGCATTAGAGAAAAGTTCTGGTTTCTGATGGGTTTACAGCTGGGGAGATTATGTCCACCAGATGGCAACAAAGCTTCAGAGGCTCTGTTTTAAAGAGCTTGCCTCCCAAATCCAGCATTGAAAATTGTTTTCCATTAAAAAAAAAAAAAGAATATTTGTGCTTTTCCCCAAGAAAGCTTTAGGTAAG